CCTTGTGGGGCCACAGAACGTGTGACGGGTGTGCCGACCTGGGCGCGGCGGTGTCATGCGAGCGCAGCCACTGGGGCATTCGGTGGAGTTCCCTTCCCTCTGGGGCCACGAATCGAGTGCGGGGTGTGCCGAAATGGGCGAGGCGGTGCCATGCAAGCGCAGCCGCTGGGGCCTTCGATGGAGCTCCCTATGGAGCCACGAGACGTGTGAGGGGCGTGCCGAAATGGGTGCGGCGGTGTCATGCGAGCGCAGCCTCTTGAGCCTTCGGTGGAGCTCCCTGTGGGGCCACGATACGTGTGACAGGTGTGCCGAGACATAAACATGCGGAGAGCATAAGCAAAGAGGGGGAGGATGGAGGAGGACGGAGGACGAGGAGGAGTGGAAACGCGGGGCGCTGTCTCTTCAAAACAACGACCCAACACCACAGGATGGTTGGAAGAAATACCCAGGAAAAGGACCCAACCATATGTAGTTGTGACTGACGCGTTGTGGGTGCCGCTTCCAGTAGGCCACGCAACGCGTGATGGGGCGTGCCGTATGGGTGGGGGGGACGCATGCAGGCGGTCCCACTGGGGCCTTCGGTGGAACTCCCTGTGGGACCACGACGCGCTGGAATGGGTTATGGACACGCGTGAAGGCGTTGCCTCTGGGGCTTTCGGTGGAGCCCCCATATGGGGCCACGAAACGCTGTACTGGGTGGGGGGGACGCACGTGGGCGGTCCCACTGGGACTTCCGCAGGAGCTCCCTTTTGGGGCCACGTTGCGCTGTACTGGGTGGCTGGGGGCAGCGCTGCCAGTGGGGTCTTCGGTGGAGCTCCCTATGGGGCCACGAAGCGCTGTACTGAGTGGGTGGGCGCAGCGCTACCAGTGGGGTCTTCGGTGGAGTTCCCCATGGGGCCGCGAAACGCTGTTCTGGGTGTGGCGGACGCATGCGGGCACCCACACTGGGGCCTTCGGTGAAGTTCCCTATATGAAGCCACCAAACGCTGTACTGGGTGGGGGGACGCATGCGGGAACCCCCACTGGGGCTTTCGGTGGAGCTCGCTATCGGGCCACGAAACGCTGTGCTGGGTGTGGCGGACGCATGCGGGCACGCCCACTGGGGCCTTCGCTGGAGCTCCCTGTGGGGCGACGACACGCTGTACTGGGTGTGGCGGACGCATGCGGGCACCCCCACTGGGGCCTTGAGTGGAGGTCCCTATGGGGCCACGAAACGCTGTACTGGGTGTGGCGGACGCATGCGGGCACCCCACCGGGGCCTCTGGTGGAGCTCCCTATGGAGCCACGAAACGCTGTACTGGGTGTGGCGCACGCATGCGGGCACTCTCACTAGGACCTTCGTTGGAGCTCCCTATGGGGCCACGAACCGCTGCACTGGGTAGGGGAAACGCAGGGAGGAGGGAGTAGGGGGAGGAGGGGGAGGAGGAGAGAGGAGAGAGGAGGAACGTGGGGACCGTCTCTTCAAAACGAGCACCCAGCCCCACAGGAGGGTTGTGAATATTCAAATCTTAACTATGTTTGAATATTCCTCCTGTAGAGGGGCACGCCCGACTTTCACCCCAGGAGCTCTACGAGGTACTCGCGCAGGGGGGGGCGCCGGAGGCACCGCCGGGGGAGCTCAGCGCTGATCCAAGAAGTCCGCGCGGATCTCCGAAAGTTTATAGTGCTGCCGATTCTTCTTCCTCGAACCTCACCCTATCCAAAGTCGCAGTCCCCGAGACCCCCCTCCCCACCCCCCTTCTCTGCCCCCCCTTCGTCTCCCAGGCCCCCTGTACCACCCCCCCTTCTCTGCCCTCCTCTCCCCCTGCCCCGTCGCAGTCTCCAACCCCCTCTCCCCTCCACCCCCCCCCTCTCCTCCCAAGCCCAACGCTGCGCAGAGGGGGGGCGGTGCGGCGAGGGAGGCCGCCCCCTCCCAGAAGGCCTGGAGGGACCCTCTCGGGAGCGGGGTCGGGGAGCTCTGCGGAGGGCGCCTCTCGAGGCTTCCTTCCGGCCAGAGGTCAGCCCAGGGTCGCCTGGCCGATTTCTGAAGCTGCGTCCAGCCACGACCACGAAGATGCTCCGGGAGACATCAACAGATGATCACAGCAAAGCGAAAGCAAAACAGACATCAGCGTGTTTTAGCGAGAGGAGAAAACACGCATACCGAATACAAAAACACGCTACGCAAAAAAACATGTGTATACGATATACAGATACACTAGATAGCCTGGCGAAGGACCCAACCATATGCAGTTGTGAATAACGCAATTGTGTATTGACACTGGTGGAGCTCCCTATGGGGCCACGACGCGTGTGAGGGGTGTGCCGAAATGAATGCGTCGGGCGCATGCGAGCGAATTCACTGGGGGCCTTCGGTGGAGCTCCCTGTGGGGCCACGAAACGTGTGAGGGGTGTGCCACCGTGGGTGCGGCGGGCGCATGCGAGCACAGCCACTGGGGCCTTCAGTGAAGCTCCCTATAGGGACAAGAAACGTGTGATAGGTGTGCCGACATGCGTGGGGAGACGCATGTGGACTGCGCCACCGGGGCCTTCGGAGGACCCCCCTTCTGGGGCCGCGAACAGTGTGAGGGGTGCACCGTAATGTGTGGGGTAGACACATGCGGACTGCGCAACGGGGGTCTTCTGTGGACCTTTCTACGGGGCCACACGAAACGCGGTAGGAGTGTGCCGTAATGGGTGGCTGAGACGCATGCGGCCGCTGCCACTGGGGCTTTCGGTGGAGCTCCCCGTGGGGCAACGACACGCTGTGCTGGGTGGTGGGGGCGCATGCGGACAACGCCACTGGGGCCTCAGGTGGAGCTCCCTTTAAAGCCACGAAACGCCGTGCTGGGCGGGGGGAGGACGCATGCGGACACCGCCACTGGGGCCTCAGGTGGAGCTCCCCATGAGGCCCCGAAACGCTGTGCTGGGTGGGGGGAGACGCATTTGAGCACCGCCACTGGGGCCTTAGGTGGGGCTTCCTATGGGGCCACGAAACGCTGTGCTGGGTGGGGGGGACGCATGTGGACACCGCCACTGGGGCCTTACGTGGAGCTCCTAATGGGGCCACGAAACGCTGTGCTTGTTGGGGGGGACGCAAGTGGACACCGCCACTGGGGCCTTAGGTGGACCTCCCTATGTGGCCACGACACACTGTGCCGGGTGGGGGGGGGGCGCATGCGGACACCGCCACTGAAGCCTCAGGAGAAGCTCCCCATGGGGCCTCGAAACGCTGTGCTGGGTGGGGGGGACGCATGTGGACACTGCCGCTGGGGCTTCAGGTAGACCTCCCTATGGGGCCACGAAACGCTGTGCTGGTTGGGTCAGACGCATGTGGACACCGCCGCTGGGGCCCTGAGGTGGAGCCACCCATGAGGCCACGCAACGCTGTGCTGAGCGGGGGAGACGCATACAGACACCGCCACTGGGGCCTGAGGTGGGGCTCCCGATGGGGCCAAGGAACGCAGTGCTGAGTGTGGGATATGCATGTAGACATCGCCACTGGGGTGGACCTCCCTGTGTGGGCACACGAAACGCAGTGCTGGGTCTGGGAGACGCGTGTGGGCACCGCCACTAGGGCCGTTCGGGGACCTCCCGATGGGGCCACGAAGCACTGTCTCTGGTGTACTGAACTGTTGCCGATGATGATGGCAATGGCGAGGATGGTTGTGGTAATGAAGCTGGTGACGATGATGGCGATGCTGGTGATGGTGACGATAATCGTGATGATGACGTCGATGATGTTGATGATGATGACGATGACGATGACGATGACGATGACGATGACGATGACGATGACGATGACGATCGTGCTGATGATGATGATGATGATGATGATGATGATGATGATGGTGGTGATGATGATGATGATGATGATGATGATGATGATGATGATGATGATGATGATGATGATGATGATGATGATGATGATGATGATGATGATGATGATGATGATGATGATGATGATGATGATGATGATGATGATGATGATCGATGATGATGATGATGATGCGAATGATGATGATGATGATGATGGGATGATGGTGGTGGTGGTTGGTGCAGGTGGTGGTTGGTGGTGATGATGATGATGATGATGATGATGATTGATTGATGTATGATGATGATGATGCTGATGATGATGATGAATGATGATGAAGATGATGATGATGATGATGATGATGAGATGATGTTGATGATGATGATGTGATGATGATGTGTGATGATGATATGTGATGATGATGATGATGATGATGATGGATGATGATGCATGATTGATGATGTTGATGATGATGATTTGATGGATGATGATGATGAATGTTGATGATGGATGATGATGATGATGATTGATGAACATGGATGATGATGCATGATGATTTTGATGTTGATGTTGATGAATGATGATGATGATGATGATGATGATGATGATGATGATGATGATGATGATGATGATGATGATGATGATGATGATGAGATGATGATGATGATGATGATGATGATGATGATGATGATGATGATGATGATGATGATGATGATGATGATGATGATGATGATGATGATGGTGGTGATGATGATGATGATGATGACGACGACGACGACGACGACGACGACGACGAGGACGGCGACGACGAGGACATGCGGAGGGCAGAGGCAGGGATGTGAGAAGGGAAGAGGGTGAGGAGGAGGAGGAGAGGAGGAGAACGCGGGGCGCTGTCTCTTCAAAACAAGGGCCCAACACCACAGGACGGTTGGGAACTAGAGAACAGCAACAAGAAACCAAAACGAACGAACAAACGAAACCGAACAACGCACCAGCAACAAAACACCAACTAAAATGACCACGGCCGCAAACAAAAACGGACACCAAAAAACGGCAACAGCAGCAGCAACAGCAACAAAAAATCGAAACACGAAACGCGTCAAATGAATCGTATAGGTCGGACCTCCTGGCGCCTGCCCCCCCCCCTCTTCTGCGCGCCGCCGAGCAAGGGCGGAAGGAGGTAAGGGGCGCAGGAGATGGGTGCCTTGTAGAGGTGATCGTAGGCGTCGTCGGCAGCCATGCTCCGCTGCCGCTGGCTCCTGATGTAAGAGCGGGGAGAAGCGAGGGGGTGGTGATGGAGAAGATAAATGCTTAACGCTTTCTATCCTGTGGGGCCCCCTGAAGCCCTCCGTCAACCTCGAGTGACTTCCACAGAACTCTGGGGACCTCCATACATTGCCGCACACCTCCAGGGACCTCTGGGGGGGGAGGAAGAAAAGGAGCCACAAAGGGAAGAGGAGGCGAAAGGAAGGAGAATAATGCAGTGAGACGAAAACAAAGTAAACACAAGATACATCAACGATGCTACAACACACCCTCTTCCCTGCCAAGTCATATCTTCAGGCATCTCTGCGCGTAATCAGTTTCATTACGCAGCGGCCCCAGTAAGACATGAGGGCGCTATGCAGGCAAGAACCCCGTCATGAAACTGCATCACCACGGAGCAACGTAAGCATTATACGTGTCTGTGTGGCAGAGCACGAAGTAAAGCCAACAACCGGAGATAACACTAGATTGAACAGACACCACGTTCCACGCGTGTACCGATTGCACAACTTCATAATGAAGGACTGGTAAGTCCCAAACGGTTACCCAATGTTGCAAAGCAGGTGCCCTACACTACCTTTCGACTGCTGCACATGCTGACGCTTCTGGTAAGAAACCAAGGAAGTCTCAAGCGAAAGCCCAGACTTCAAAAGCATCCGAAGGATGAAATAGAGGAGGACACGGAGGGGGATACGGGAGTTGGAAGAAGAAGGGGGGGAAGCAGAGGAAGGGGAGTTGGGGCCCGAGACGAGTCGAGAGGCCGAGACGCTGCAGTGCGCACTGAAAGCGCAGCAGGACGCTATACTGGGTAAAGGGAACGCATGCGGGCGTCGCCACTGAAGCCTTCGGTGGAACCCCCTTTTTATGGGGCCACGAAACGGTGTCTTGGATGGGGGACACGCATGCGAACGTCGCCTCTGGAGCCTTCAATTGACCTCCCTACGGGACCAGGAAACGCTTTACGGGGACCTTCGGTGGAGCTCCCTGTGGGGCCACGAAACGCTGTCCTGGGCGGGAGAGACGCATGCGAACTGCACCACTGTGACCTTCGGTGGAGCTCCCTATGGGGCCACGAAGCACTGTACTGGGTGTGACGATGATGGTGATGATGACGGCGATGACGATGACGGCGACGATGACGATGACGACGATGATGATGATCATGATGATGATGATGATGATGATAATGATGATGATGATGATGATGATGATGATGATGATGATGATGATGATGGCGATGATGATGATGATGATGATGCCGATGCTGATGCTGATGATGACGATGAGGAGGAGATGATGATGATGGTGATGATGATGCTGATGATGATGATGATGAGGATGATGATGATGAAGATGATGATGATGATGATGATGATTATGATGGTGATGATGATGATGATGAATGAATGATGATGATGATGATGATGATGATCATGATGATGATGATGATGATGATGATGATGATGATGATGATGATGATGATGATGATGATGATGATGATGATGATGATGATGATGATGATGATGATGACGATCATGGAAAGCCTTTCCCCTGGCAAACCCCCCACCCCGCCTAACCCCCCCCCCCTTCGGAAAACCGAGAGGGGTCACTTCTGGTTCGAAACCCCCCCCCTCCGGAAAACCGGGAGGGGTCACTGCCGGTTCGAACCCCCCCCCCTCCAGAAAACCGAGGGGGGGGTCACTACCGGTTCGAACCCATCCCCCGCCCCCCTTCCAGAAAACCGAGGGCTCACTACCGGTTCGAACCCCTCCCCCCCCTCCAGAAAACTGGGGGGGGGTCACTACCGGTTCGAACCCCTCCCCCCCCCACACTCACCGCCGGCAAACGACTCCCAGGTCCTTACCACCGTCCGCACCACATCCCCCCCTGCTGTCCCCAGCCCAGCACCACTCTCCTCACCACCAGTGTCCCCACTGTTCCCACCACCGTCCCGACTGTCCCCACCAGTGCCCCAACCACTGTCGCACTGTCCCCACTGTCCCCACCACCACCGTCCCCACCACTGTCCGCACCACTGTCCCACTGTCCCCGCCGCACCACTGTCCACACCACTACCGTTCCCACCAGTCCCAGTAATTATCCCCACCATTGTCCAACTGTCCCGAGGAGCGGGAATCGTTTGCCGGCGGCGAGGGAAAGGGGGGGGTTCGAATCCGTAGTGACCCTCCCCCCTTTTCATGATGGACTGGGGAGGGGGGGGAGGGGTTCGAACCGGTAGTGACCCCCACCCAGTTTTCGAGGGGGGGGGGGGCGGGTTGGGAACCCCCAGTGACCCCCCGAGGTTTTCCGCCAGCAGCGGTAGAACACGCTCTTTCAAATCATGAGGACATGCGGAGGGCAGAAGCAAGGGATGTGAGGAGGGCGAGAAAGGAGGAGGGAGAGGAGTAAGGAGGAGACGCGGGGCGCTGTCTCTTCAAAACGAGGACCCAACACCACAGGATGGTTGGGAACAAGTTGAAGCGTGATCGCCCTCATCTGCCCACGTGTCACTCAACGTGTACATCCAAACCCTTCGATACCCGCCCTCTTCGTCTTCGATCATACCCCCCTTGCGTGTATATCCTCCTTGCCTGCATCGTGCAGCTAGCGCAGCTCCTGAAACAGGGGAAGGGAGGGAGGGAGGAAAAGGACAAGGGGGAGTGTGAAGGATGGAGCACCAGAAAGATTAGCATGGGGGGGCGGGGGGCAAGAAACCAAGAGGTAGAACGTGACAGGCCGGTCGGGCGGGCGGACCTTAACGGGCGGGTCGGGCAGGCAGGCCCAGAGAGGCAGGGCCGAGCGGGCGGATCGCTTGAGCGTCAGCCCTGCGTGAATCGCTAAGACGTCTCGAGCGATAGCGCGATCCCGAAGTACATCGCGAGGAAGTCCAAAGCGAGAGCGTGATTCCTTAGTGTCGAGGGCGCGGCACCTCAATCAAGCGTGGGGACGTCCCGCGCGAGAGCGTGATTTTGAATAGACAGGGGGCAGTATCCGGCCGGAGCCGTTGTTGTACCCCGGCGGCCACGGGCGCAGTCTGAGCTTCCAGGCTTGCCCTTGTATAAACAGCGGCGCGCAGGCCCTGGGAAGGGCATCCGGACGGAAAAAATGCAGCTCGTGCCCCGGAGGGGGAGGGGTCGGCCACGCTCTCGTCAGAAGCGGGGGCTCCACCGAGGAGAGGGAGGAAGGGAGAGGAGGGGCCGGCGGGGCGGCCAGCGGGCAAGAGGGGAGGGGCAGGGAGGGGGGAGAGGCCCGCGGGCCCGGCAGACGGCGGGAGAGGCGGGCAGGAGGGGGGAGGGGAGGGGAGGGCCAAGAAGGGAGGGGGCCCTGGGACACACAAAGAAATAGACACTTTTTGGTCTGCGGGGCGAGAGCGAGCCTCTTCCAATAAAAGCTGGGCGGGCTACGCACAGCTCTAATTGGGGAGACAGGGCACAGGCGGGCGGGGCCTCAGGCGGCCGGAGGGCGGGCTGGGGAGCAGGCGGTGCCGAGGAGCTTGCACATGACAAGGAACGCCCGTGGACAGGAGCCGGAGGCGAAGATCCACAAATAAATAGACACTAACAACAGGATTTCTGATATTTCCCCATATTTTCTGGGTTCTTTTGTCTTCCCCCCCACTGCCCATATCTTCCCATATTTTCTTTGGGGATCGACGATTCATTGTGTCTGCGTGTTTCGTTCCCTCCTGACAAGAGGGGAGGGGCAGGAGGAGCCGGAGAGGGGATGGGGATCGGATCGGATCGGATCGGAGAGCCGCGAGAGAGCTGCAGCCAGCTGCTGCCGGGGGCGTGTGGAAGCCACGGAGAGAGAGAGAGAGAGAGAGAGAGAGAGAGAGAGAGAGAGAGAGAGGGAAGACAAGAGAGAGAGAGAGAGCGAGGGGAGGGCGAGGAGGGAGAGGCAGGCGGGGTGGCCGCGGGCAGGCAGGCCGGGGGGCCGCGGGCCCCTCTGCCCCGCGCGCGCGCGGGCGGCCGCGGGGCGCGGGCGCGGCTCCCCGCAGCGGGGCCGCCGGTCGGGCCGACCGATCAGCGCACCTCGAGGCTGCCTCCGGCGGCGGAGGGCGGGGAGGGGAGGACGGACAGGGCGGGCTCGGGCGAGAACGGGGACGGGTGAAGCCCGGAGCGGGTCTCAGGAGGAGGAGGAGGAGGAGGAGGAGGAGGAGGAGGAGCAGGAGGAGGAGGAGGAGGAGGAGGAAGAGGCGCAAGAAGAGTGGGGGGGCTGTCACGCCGGAGCGGGCCTCGGATTGAGCGGAACGAGGCCGGAGGGAGCGGGATGGAGCCGGATCCAGCGAGATTAAGCCGGATTCAGCCGGATTTCGGACCAGGGCAGATTCAGAATCTTACCTCCCAGGAGGTGCATCCGAAGGGAGGGGATGACGGATAGGCGACGGACGATGACGACAACGACTCATCACGAGTCTTCGTATCTATAGTTGATCTCCTTGTTACTACTATTCCCAAACATCCTGTGGTGTTGGGTCCTCGTTTTGAAGAGACGGTGCCCCGCGTCCTCCTCTCCTCTCCTCTCCTCCTCCTCCCCCCTCCTCCCTCCTCCCGTCATCATCATCATCGTCATCATCATCACCATCATCGTCGTCATCGTCATCGTCATCATCGTCGTCGTCATCATCGTCATCATCGTCATCATCACCATCATCGCCATCATCATCGCCGTTATCGCCACCATCATCATCATTGTCATCCTCCTCATCATCATCATCAGCATCATCATCATCATCATCATAATCATCATCATCATCATAATCATCATCATCCTCCGCATCATCACCATCACCATTACAATTACCATTACCATTACCATTACCATCACCATCATCATCATCATCATCATCATCATCATCATCATCATCATCATCATCATCATCATCATCATCATCATCATCATCATCATCATCACCATCATCAGCAGCATGCGTCCCCTGCACCCATTTCGGCACACCCCTCACACGTTTCGTGGCCCCATAGGGAGCTCCACCGAAGGCCCCAGTGGCTGCGCTCGCATGCGGTTCCACCCCCTTTTTTCGGCACACCCCTCACACGTTTCGTGGCCCCACAGGGAGCTCCACCGAAGGCCCCAGTGGCTGCGCTCGCATGCGGTTCCACCCCCCATTCCGGCACACCCCTCACACGTTTCGTGGCCCCATAGGGAGCTCCACCGAAGGCCCCAGTGGCTGCGCTCGCATGCGGTTCCACCCCCCATTCCTCCGCACACGCCCACACTTCGTTTTGTGGCCCCATAGGGGAAGGGAACCACCACCGAACGCCCCAGTGTCTGCGGCTACGCATGCGGTTCCACCCCCACCCCCACCCCCTATTTCGGCACACCCCTCACACGTTTCGTGGCTCCATAGGGAGCTCCACCGAAGGCCCCAGCGTCTGCGTTCGCATGCGGTTCCACCCCCCTTTTCGGCACACCCCTCACACGTTTCGTGGCCCCGTAGGGAGCTCCACCGAACGCCCCAGTGGCTGCGCTCGCATGCGGTTCCACCCCACATTTCGGCACACCCCTCACACGCTTCGTGGCTCCATAGGGAGCTCCACCGAACGCCCCAGTGGCTGCGCTCGCATGCGGTTCCACTCCCCACTCTCGCACACCCCTCACACGTTTCGTGGCCCCGTAGGGAGCTCCACCGAAAGCCCCAGTGGCTGCGCTCGCATGCGGCTCCACCCCCCCATTTCGGCACACCCCTCACTCGTTTCGTGGCCCCATAGAGAGCTCCACCGCCCCAGCGTCTGCGCTCGCATGCGGTTCCACCCCTCTTTTCGGCACACCCCTCACACGTTTCGTGGCCCCACAGGGAGCTCCACCGAACGCCCCAATGGCTGCGCTCGCACGCGCTTCCACCCCCCATCTCAGCAACACAAAATCACCTCACACTTTCGTGCTCCATAGGGAGCTCCACCGAAGGCCCCAGTGCTGACGCCCTTCGCATTTTTTTTTTGGAGGGCCCGGGGGTTTTTTTTCCACCGTTCCACCCACAATACTGGCACACGCCCTCACACGCTTTCGAGGCCCCACCATAGGACTCCACCGAGGCCCCAGTGGCTGCGCTCGCACCGGTTCCACCCCTCATTCTGGCACACCCCTCCACACGTTTTCGTGGCTCCATAGGGACCCTTCCACCAACGCCCCAGTAAGCTCGGCAGGGAGCCTCGGCTGCAACCAAAAAAAAGAAACGAGTTTATCCGCGAGGCCTGACCTGAGGAGCGTCCCCCCCGAGCCGCGCCTTCTCTCGACTGTCCAACTACTTGTCTGGCTTCGCGCTGCGGACGACCCGCGCGCGTCGCTGGGACCCTTCCGGGGCGACCAACGCGCGTCGCGGGGATTCCGTGCGGCGCTCTGCCCAGCGCCTCGCTCGCCCGTCGTCGCTCTGCCCAGCGGCCGGAGCTTTGCCCGCAATCAGCCAGCTGGCTAGCTCTCTGTGCTCCGCGCAGCGGACGACCCGCGCGCGTCGCGGGGACCCCTCCGCGGCGACCTGCGCGCGTCGCGGGGACTCCGCGCTGCGTTGCGACCGCGGCCAAGGACTTTGGAGTGCGCGGGCAAAGGGACAAGAAAATAAGAAAAGCGGGCGCTATCCTCGTGAGGGGCGCGCCGACACGGGCGTCGCGGCGCGCGGGCGCTGCCATTGGCATTTCTGGGGGGGGGGGGGGGGGCTCCTCGCGGCGGCCACAATCAATTTCACAAGTACTCAGAACCAGTTATACTCAAACCATTCACATTCATATAAAATTCCACTGAGCGTGGTCATGCTCCCATTCATGAACATAGACTCGTTCGCACGCAATCCCATTCACAAACAGACGCACTCGCGCTCAGACTCATCCGCGTTCAGTCTCTCGTAATCAGAAATATAAGTTTCCTTCGCATTGTGTGCCCCCGCCACACAGTTCGGCACGCCCTTCATGCGGTTCGTGGCCCCATAGGGAGCGCCACCGAGGAATATATCCACAATTGCGGTATTCACAACTACGTATGGTTGGGTCTTTCGTCCGGCTAATTTTTCCCCACATCCACAGTGGGGTTCTTGTTTTCTCTGGACACCACGCGCCGGAAAAGGAACCCACCATCATCATCATCACTCATTCCTCACTCACTCACTCACTCATCATCCCTCACACACACTCACTCACTCACTCACTCACTCACTCACTCCCTCACTCACTCACTCACTGACTCATCAGCACTCACATATGATGATGATGATGATGATGATGATGATGATGATGATGATGATGATGATGATGATGAGTGTGCGAGTGAGAAAGTGTGATGATCATCATCATCACCAGTCAGTCAGTCAGTCACTCACTCACTCACTCACTCACTCGCCTTGGGCCTCTTGTGTGATTGAATTGCGAGGAAGTCTCAAGCGGGAGCCCCCTCCCTATGGGGCCCGCGGATCCTGTTACTAATCCGAGCGGGTCATCCAATTCCTTTAGCTGTCGCCACTTTGGGGCTCTCGCGCTGCCAGAACGCCACTCCCAGGCCACATTTGTGAGTGAATTGCGAGGAAGTCTCCAGCGGGAGCCCTGTCCCTATGGGGCCCGCGGATCATGTTACTAATCCGAGCGGGTCATCCAATTCCTCTAACTGTCGCCACTTTTGGGCTCTCGCGCTGCCAGAACGCCACTCCCAGGCCACATTTGTGAGTGAATTGCGAGGAAGTCTCAAGCAGGAGCCCCTTCCCTATGGGGCCCGCGGATCATGTTACTAATCCAAGCGGGTCATCCAATTCCTCTAACTGTCGCCACTTTTGGGCTCTCGCGCTGCCAGAACGCCATTCCCAGGCCACCTGTTCAATGCCCGGAGCCAACTGTAGGCCACTTCGTGTTCTTCGCGCTCCCAGAACACCATTCCCGGGCCACATTTTGAATGCCCGGAGCCAACTGTAGGCCACTTCGTGTTCTTCGTGTTCCCAGAACACCACTCCCGGGCCACTTTCTCAATGTCCGGAGCCCAAACAGAAGGGCGAGGTCAGGGGCAACGTAGGGAGCGGGGGTAGGGCCCGCGCCAGGGCGAGAAGAAATATACACACAAGAAACAGCCAACACGCCTCACCAACCACGAGGACGACGGTGAGGGCTTTTTCCAGATTCGCCCAGAGGATTCTCATGTGGGGTCCTTCTGTCGAAGTAATTCATAGTATGATGATCATTATTGGTACCTCTACTACTGCTACTACTACTACTACTACTACTACTACTACTACTACTACTACTACTACTGCTACTAATAATAATAATAATACCACTACTACTACGACTACT